GATTGCCTTAGCAAGTGATGCATAACGCTATGCAGCTAGGGAGAGACGGTCAACGGGCAGCGCAGTGGTCCCGTGACTAAATAAGAGAGCAATCAGAACTGCGCGGCGGTTAATGCAATAGGCGGTATGACAGGTCAACGAAAGAGTGAAGAGGCTACGACGTTTTACACACTTACTGTGTAACTGAGCATCCAGCATAACCAGTTTGAACCTTAGTCGCAACGGGCGTCTGAACAATAGGCACCGTCGTCTGAGACAGATATTGTGCGCACTGTGGATCATTAAACTCCTGATTGCCACACGCAGGTGCACTGCCATACATATCACTGTAAAAATGCTAACAAATCAGTTAGTTAATTCTTCAAGCAAAATATAGTATTAAAACACACGTTGTTGCAAAAAAACGAGTCAGATAACACATAGGTTTGCAACCTATACGCATCGATGTTGCACATTAACGTGTACATTTGTTAGTCACCATGATAAGCGCTTGTGAGTTCGCGTTGTGGTGGTGGGCTGGACTTTTTGTCCGCCACAGCTCTTCAACTGCAGGACCTATCGTCATGTGCCTGACGAATAACAGCTGTGACACAAATGTCACAAATCACAACACAATAGCGCTCCTAAATGGCACCAATGACGGAGCAATTAGTGCCATTTGGTGTTCAGTACGCGTGCTGACGTGTGCTGACCTTGGCTGGACTCCCGTTTACGATATATTGCGGAATCGGCCGGTCGGCCGGCCGACATGAGACCCCCGAGTCCACTCTTTGTGTGAACAGTGGGAGGACAGTAAACAGACCCCGCGAGCGTGCTGTGTGTGCGTGAGTGTGTGTCCGACGACCTCCCCGGCCGTTGCCGTCTGTCGTGAGGACCGTCGCCTCACGTGACACTTGAGTCATGTTGGGAAAAAATGTGGACAAATAGTGGAAGTGTTGCACATTACATTACTTTGAATTTGCTATCTTACACTACCAAGCCGTCATTCCGGACCGTAATTGGCGCGACGATGACAAGTGCAATGAGTTCCGGCAATTTACGACAGCAACTACCGAAACACAAATCACCTAATTTCTTACAGTCATTGGATAAAAGCATGTAATTCGACAGTTTGCAGTGCCGGGTCAACGTCCAGTCGCATCCACATCATATCCGTCATCACCACAGTCGACAGGAAGTTATTATCGGGGTTGGCGTGAGCAGCCAGTACTCCGGACCTCACTAATCGGCGTCACAGCCGTCACACGTAACACCAGAACGTCACTGCGTCACATCACTTTACATCAGACCGCCACGGTCCCAGTGACATCCGGTGACATAGCTGACAGGTCAAACATGACGGAGCGAAAATGACCTGTCATACTGAGACGAGTGAGCTCGAGCAGCCCTGGATTTGAAGCCATAGGCGGCGGAACGGGGAGGGCACCGGGGGACAGTGCCCCCCTTTGATTTTGGCATTTTAATATTAGCCCTATGGGTGTTGCATGGAAAGAATGGGACCAAAAGTCGGCGGTGCCCCCCCCCCCCTAATTGAAGGTGTTCCGCCGCTACTGTTTGAGGCGCACGTAACCCTCGATATGAGGTGTCCTGAATTCCTAAACGCCGCAAACCTGACTTTATCCACAAACACAGCAGATATGTTATCAGGTATCGGTCCGACCTGGAAAGAGGTCATTCCTCGAAGTGCGCTGTGTAGCGCACTGTCGTAAGGCGGCCCCACTCCCCTGTCGTTACCGTAAGAGCACGCGCGTCTCATCGGTCCCCCCTGTCCGTCGCTCACTCCCAGCGATCGATCCCGGAGGGCTGGGGCGCGACGAGCAGCCTACCCCACTAGAGCGACCGGGACAGACTCCTTCGATGTCGAGTACGCACTAAGGAAATTATCAAAACCTGTTTAATTGTCATATCTATTAACCACATTTTAGACCCACTTGGAAAACTGAGACTGTAATAAAAATAATGTATTTACATATATCGAAAAGAGACAAAGGTAGCCAGTCAGCATACAGAGACTGCGGTCTGTGGGCCGTAAATCCGTCAGCTCTACGCACAATACGCAGTTGGCCCGAGGCCAACGACCCCGGGCAGGGGCGGGGGCGTAAACAGGGGGGGGGGGGGAGGAAGAGAATAAACAGCTGCGAGGGGAGGCCGTTGACTGACGGCGGAGGCGAGCCTTGCGGCCACCGCACAAAGCGGGCAAGTCAGCGACTAAGAGCGCTCCATGCATGCAATAGAATGGGCCATACACTAATGGTGTGATTTATGAATGAATGAAATGCGTGTTATTGAAAAGGTTTCTTGTCGTGAGTCTTTTATCAGTCTCCATCAATACTCCATACGGCATTAGTTATCATTTATCAATTTAGTATGGCTGCTACCCAGCCAACCCGAGTCAGTTGCATGGCCTTGCTCTTGTCTTTCTGCTGCCACCACAAAATCTGTCACCGTCTTTCGACTTTCGGATGGACCATCGGCATTAATCAAATCCACAATTTGCCAGGTTACACCACGCCGCCTAATCACGAAATCAATGGAAACTCAACACAATCCTCTCTTTCCCAGGCAATCGACTAGCGAACTCCTCTTCATAGTCTTCATAGTCATAGTCGATCCCACGGAGAACAATGACAAATGCCAGGACATCGTAATCGGTTACATCAGACCCAGGGTCACTGAAATTAACGAACTACTCTTTCTCTTCTGAGATTATTCGGTTCACATTGCGAGGATAAAGACCACGATCCTTTGTACCCATCGATTCCGTGAGTCAATATCAATTATCGAGATACTACAATCGCTAAGATTAATGCATCTTTTCCAAAGAGATCCAAGTCAGGCGGGCTATATCACCCCCTTCAGGCGCTTCTATGAACTCTCTTGATTCAGTGGGTCAGTGCATTTCAACTCGCGAGGTAGGAAACCCTCTCTTTTTCTCCTCCAAACAAGCCCGCGTCAGGTGAGCGCGAACGGACCGCGCCGGCGCAGACAGATCTGATTTGCCGCACGGTGGTCCGTCCGTTGACGAAACCCCCTGAGACCCGTCTTTGACATCACTTTCACTGAATCGCTAAACGCCGCGCTGGGAACGGTCCGACAAACGGTGTCGTAGCGAGTGACACAGCCAAAGGGAGGACATCTGCTAGTTTTTATCAATCGCAAACAGCAGCTGCTGTATTGGATGGGGACTGAGGAGCGAGCTGAACGCACAGATATAGCACGTTTGGAGTCAGGACAAGAGAAAAAAGAGCGCCGTTACAGAACAATAGGTTACAGTGGGCATAAAAAGGGCAATGGGAAACAATTGAGAAACAATGGCCATTGATGCATACGAGACACCGAATGCAGCGAGCGCACGGGTAACGTGCATGAGCTTGCCATTTCCCCATCACTTTACTTTACAGTGTGATCAATGCGCTAGGCGCATAAGTGACTTTTTAGACATCATGCATGGCATGTGCGCACATTTTGTCCCTGGAAGATAAATCGAGCGGTGCAATTTTAATCAGGGACGAGCTCAAGGCCTGTCTCTAGTAACTGGATGCAGTAATGACCTCGCCGACAGATCCCAGACTCCACCGAGTTGCCTACCCAGTTGCTTTGTATGAAGGGAGCTAGCAGATGCCCTATACCCTCTGACGCGGGGCCAGAGATGTACCGAAATGCCGTGCTTTCCGTCTCCTGCGCTCAATAATATAAACGCCGTGGAATGGATATGGCAGCACCGGCTGAAGTTCAGCTGCAGCAAACGGCTATCAAATGCAAAATGGTTTAACGCACTTCAGTCCATCGTATGTTGACGGTCCAATCATTTCGTTGACTTGGATAACAGTTAGTCGGCACCAGAATCACTGTAAATGTTACCAAATGCCGTGAATAGAATAGTACGGCATTTGATCAGATTGGACCCTGGGCGCTGTATTTACATTCGCGAGTCGTGACATTTTTCGGGCACGAAAACTCTCCAACGAAAAAAAAGTCCAAACCAAGGCACTATACCTTCGTGAGACGATGACGAATCTGTTCCATCGATTGTCCGTTCACGGTCCCATTCCAGCAAAGAACCAGTCATCCCAACAATGTCTCGCACCGCATTTCTGACCCACTAACATCAATTTCTCTTCAAACATTTTTTGTAACATCTTAAAGAAATCCATGAAATAAAGGAACTGAATCGGCTTGACGAGGAACGATTTGCAAAAATTGTGACTAGAGGTTTTTTAGATCAATCATGGAGACTTTTCAATGCATATAGCTATTACAGCACTGCACAAAGCACAATCAACGCTGTGTATCAATTTGTAACGCCCCATCAAAAGGATTCGATATCGCGTGGCACTCCGAAAATCTATGACAGGTTCACGGTGATCCCACTCCCAACTCTCGGGAAGCTTGCAACTCGTAAGAGCCTTTTCACGACTCACGGCGACTCACCCTAGAACCCTTACAAGCCAACTGTGACCCATTCACGGATCAAGGTCCTCTCACGACTCACGGAATCTCCTTACAATCCAAGCACGACTCACGGATTCCTCTTACCGAATCACGAAATCCAATCACGGCTCACGGGAGGCGAGCAGAGGTCCCACCCGACCTGGATCCGTCCCGGCACCGGGCACACCCAGGCGCGGCCGGGCCGTCGGGACGAGGTATGTGTGTCAGTCTGTCGGCCAGGATCGGTATCCAACGGCCGAGAACGGGAACAACGTTCACTGATAACTGTCCGTTTGTGACTACTGAGGTCCAAAACGGGTACCGACAAAACGGATAATTTAGAGGAGCAAACGGAGTACCGATCGCACTGAGCGAACGATCACTCGGCGGGAATCCAGCGCCACAGTGGGTTGCTACAGATACGGCATTGCCGCATTCGTGTCACCGGAGCGTGACGCCCCTTTCGTTTTCATTCCGGGCCAGGTCACCCACAAAACGCCGGCATGGCAACAACCAGGTTTGCCTCGAGAACGTCAGCGCGAACCTCGGGAAGGCCGAAGGGACCGTACCTTTGATGTTGAGCGGACAGTGGTGGGTCCAGTCGATCCCTCGTTCTTAGCACGGGGAGACAGTATCTCGGAGCGGTAGCCCGGCTCCCACCCCACACCACACCAAAGGGTCCACTGGAGCCGCCGGTGCCGACGGACGGAACAGCTGACGGCAGCAGACAGCCCGGCGGAGCTGCTGACACCTAGCGGCCGCGACGGCAAACAGCCGGGAGCAAAGGAGCGGGGCTACCGACATCTATCGACGGAAACAGAACCTCTGGTGTAGACGAATTCCTCGGTATGTGCGAGCAGCAGCAGGAGCAAAGATTACGTGACAAAAGATCGTAAGACAAAAGATCTCATGGAAAAGGATCGTAGGAAAATGATCGTAATATAAAGATCGTATGTCGCAAAAGATCGTACGACCAAAGATCGTAAGCAAAAGATCGTAAAGCAATGGATCGTATGAAAAAGATCTTAGAAAATGCATCGATAAATCAATAGCATTTAGCAATCCTATAGTTTGTTTCAAGATTTGCATTTTGCAATCGTGGTTGCGGAATATCGACAACATTTTAGGAGCAAAAGGTGGTGCCGCATTTTTTTGTCCTCCAGCCCCCACCCCCTCCCCTACCCGGCGCCGCGAGTGGAATAACGAAGGACACCACAGGTCTAACAGAGGCACCACAGGCCTGGCAAGGGCATCATCAGCCTCGCAGGGACACATTGGGCCTGTCAGGTGCACCAAGTGCCAGTCGGGGGCACTTCAGGCTTGTCACGGGCACCACAGTCCTGTCAGAGCCCAAGGGCACCAGCAACCTAGAAGGGGCACCACAGGCCTGCCAGGGGCACCACCACAGGTTTGTCAGGCACCACCGGCCTCGCAAGGGCACCATGGGCCTGTCAGGGCCTGTCACCACCAGCCTCTCGTTGGCACTTCAAGCTTGTCAGGAACACTACAGGCCTGCCAGGACCCATGTGCAAAAAAAAAAAACTGAAAATAGGGCAACACCTAAATGAAGTGGTCGAAACCAAAATTCGAGATCCGCTGAGCTTTTTTATTTTGGGTATAAGTAGGGGCACCACTTCGATTCATGACCCTCCCCTAGGAGTTTTCCTGGATCCGCTCCTGTACAGTCTGTCTTAAAAGTACCGCGCAAAGTGACTGTGGATCCATCAAGCCTGACTGAGGAAGGGCCTGCTATAATTTTAAAGTCACCGAACCATTGGACCTGGGGAATGGACGAGGATGTCCATTGCTTCGGTGGCTCAAATTTAACAGTCCTTCATCGGCCAGGCTTGATGGATCCACCGTCACTTTGCGCGGTACTTTTAAGACAGACTGTACATGCGTGCTTGTGCACCTGGGGGCTTTGGGGTGCCCCTTTTGGGATGCAGAAGTAAGGGATGCAAAAATGATATACACATCCACACCCAGGGGCGGCGCCACGGGTTTTCGATAGGGGGGACGGGGACCTGCCTGATCGAAAATCCCAAAAGTAGATACTGATCGTGTATGCAAAAAAAAAAAAAACGAGGCACGTTACGCCGCGAAACTTGGTAAAGCCCAAAACACATCGAATGGTGCATCCCGTTTCCAAACTTATCCTAGGACACCTAAGATCGATCACCTTTTCAAGCATCCTTGCCTCTAAATCAAAATTTGCAGTCTTGCCAACTCAAAGCTGGTTTCCTACAAGCTGCGAATTACTTAGGTATGATGAGTAGCAGTGCCAACCATTCTTACGTTTCGTACTTTCAAATTTTCAATCTTACGTCTGGTCAGCTTCATGGCTTCACCATCATTATATAGTCATGGAGGAAAAGTGGGAATGTCTTCTGCTCTGACAAGTGCGCCAAAACTGCAATATAATTTCAGAATCATGACATCACCACCACCACCTGATCCATATGCAACGGGCAGGGTGCAGCTAATGGCTAGCCGTCAGTGGTCATGTCATCGGTGGTCACTCAAAAGGTCATGCTAGGTCATGGAAGGTCACCAGCCATTATTTGATCACACTTTCTGATGGATTTTACTTACCAAGAGCTTCGCGGGAAAACGAGCGCATGCATCGTTGAAAAAAAAAATGCGTGAAAGGGTCTCAGGTCCGGCGACCTCTGCAGGTGAAATGCCCCAGGGTAGGATTCCGATTTTCACAGCCGCTGACGTAAGAAGGGGAGTGGGGGGGGGGGGGGTTGGCTCGATTAGACCCCCAGCCGTTCGGTCGCCGACCGAACTTAGTTTTGCAGAAAAAAACGAGTGCTATCGAACCCCTTGACAAGAGGGAGCCGATGCTACCCAATTATAAGGTCTTGGGCTACTGCGTGCTTTTTTTGGTCCTACCTGTGATCTATCCGAACACTTCTCCCCACAAGTGCTGGGGTTAAATGGCATAGATTTCAAATGGTTCCTGTGGTAGAACTGCCATGCTTGAATTCGACTAATTAGGAATGGAAAATATCCATATAGTAGCGGAAATCTATGGAATTTCAGTAAACTTGGTTTTGTCGGCAATGGGGTCTGGCAGTGGGGTGGGGAGGTAATAACCCTGCCTGGCGCCCCAAAAAGGGGGGGGGGGGGGCACGATCCCCGAGGCCCTGCCGATCACCTTATAACTACAGGCATCACAGCTCCACACCTTTTGCAGATGGCCAGGACCCCCTGCGATACATCACAACAGCAATCTTTATTCAGAACCTGCCTTGATTAACCAACGATGCATTAAATGCGACGGATAACTCTACAATGCATTATTATCAACTATTGAACGGGCCTCGCCGATAGGGGGTACTGTACCCCCCTAACTTTCGATAGCGGGGGACCTGTCCCCCCCGTCCCCCCCCGGTGGCGCCGCCCATGTCCACACCCATGTGCTGGAGCCTCAAGGAAAGGAACAGGACAGCGGAGTCCTTTCTGTCAATGCGGAAATTTAACCATCAGCTATTAGCCATCTAAGTTCTGAAATAACATCATGTATGGTCGAGCTTACGACGGCCACTTACTACGCGAACACATAAATTGATAAGCTTTGTATGCGCTGGAGTTGGGCTGCAACATGTGAATATCATATTTTGACTGTATGATCTTTATCTCATACGATCATTTACCTCGACGATCTTTTGCGAATACGATCTTTCGTCTATATGAACATTATACTGTACGATCTTTATCCCATACGATCTTTTGGCATACGATCATTTTCCTTGACGATCTTTTGCGAATGCGATATTTTGTACATACGAGCATTATATCGTACGATCTTTATCCCATACGATCTTTTGGCATACGATCATTTTCCTTGACGATCTTTTGCGAATACGATATTTTGTCCATACGAGCATTATGCCGTACGATTTTTATCCATTACCATATTTTGCATACGATCAACTTCCTACGATCTTCTGCTTTACGATCTTTTGTCCGGTTACCAGGAGCCAAATTACTTCAGCAGAAACCGAACACCGCATGACAATTAGACCTGCACAGCATCAACAATCGGCATATGAGTTATCACCCGTAGCGCATCCATTGATCAAACACGTACTAAAAGCCACAATGCATAATGCATGCATTTCATAATGAAAGCAAGCCAGTTTAATAGCGGCAAAAGATGACACGATGTTATCCAGCCCATTACTAAGTCACAACGACCCCATTTTCTTACACTGCACCGTGCTAATGCTATTGAATGGTCGCAGTCATTGTGTCCATTCAATGACTCTAGATTGCGATGCAAAGCAAAGATCGTCTGCGGAAAATGGGACTATTATGATAGCGTTTAGCCTTTCAGTTGACTGTTGAACCCTGAGTGATTTATCGTGCCATAAGTGCAGCGTGGATGAAAGATATTCCTTCTTCCATGGCTGCAGTGTCAGTTGGCGCAGGATGATTTACTATGTCGACTATGTCGGTGGATGAAAAGCCGATTTGTGAAATAAAGCTTTTAACTATTCAACGCGATTTCGGTTGTCGAACAAATAAAACCTTTATTGAACACCTTTGCAATCCTCATCACAGAAACTAATGCGATCCATGGGAACTCAATAATGCACTGTGTATCACAGAATCAATACGCATATCCTGGTTGCCATCGCAGGCCTTACGAGCTAATCGGCCCACCGGGGACACAAAGCGTCCATACGAACTCGACTAGAACTAGACGGTTCTCGACGGTTCGAGAACCGTCTAGAGTCGGTTCTCGAACGCTCGAAAAACGAGCGTTCGAGAACCGAATCAGTAATTGTGCTAACGCAATTCTCACCGAGAAGCGAGGGGTGACGCGCCTGAATGGCCCCGTATGCCTGAGAAATTCATCGCCTTGAAATTGCACTACCGAATGGATGGTGCGATAATGGCAATACTAATTTCCAATGTAGGCTAATAAACTAACGAGGGACAATGTTCATTGGCTGAATGGACGAAAACAATGAAACACCAAACACAATGCGAAATGACAACAGCTTGAGTCACGTCACTGCATTACAGGGGAATGAAATGTGAAAAGAGAAGAAGCGTCTTTGCAAATGTCACATGAAGCAGCTATCTACAGACACATTCTCTGAAGGAAAGCCAAATATATCTAAGAAACTACGGGGTTTGACAGTCCCAGTTGCCAGAATAGCGCCCTGTTCGGCGGCTGTGCTGACCTCAACTGCAGAGGGGGCCGTCCTCAGCGGCTGTGACCTCAGGTCACCTCTGATCCGGTCAGCCGGGCAGCTGGACTGAGGTGATGATGCCATCCAGGCAGGGCACATTGCCGTCCTTGAAGCGCCGGTAGTCGAGCATCATCTCCTTGAAGCTGCTGAAGTCGGAGAAGGACAGCAGCAGGTCGAATATGTCGCCATCAAGCTCCTCTCGTCGTTCTCTGCGGATGACAGATCACACGGCGAGATGATATACAACTAACTCACTGCATCGACCGGCCGTCGACCCAGCTAACGCAACAATTTTCAAAGTACATATTGCACGGAAAGCTAAATACCTACAGTTGGCAAAAACAAAAAACAAAAACAAAAACGGAATACAAGTACACGTTTGTCTTTTTTATCAGCAAACCTATACTTCGCCAATGCCGTCAACTGCTAGGTTTATGGGAGGGTTCGTAAGCCTCCTGGGAAGAGCCCCTAGACCTCCACAGGCATAACGGACCACCACACCCACCAACATGAGGTCCTTATCCCCCAATGTCCCCATTTGGTCGTACTCACGCCAGCTGCGTCAGGAACTGGTCCATGCTGAAGCTGGGCAGCCGCTGCCGCAGCTGCGAGTCCAGGTGACCCTCCAGCAGACGGCCGTACTCGCGGAACACGCCCATCCACTCCAGACGGTTCTCCTCCGAGGCCGGGTCGAACAGCGCGCAGTGCCGCTCCACAAACTCGCGCTCCAGCGTGCGAAAACTGGCGTCTGGGGACGGGACGCGGTCACAGGGTGAAGCATAAGCTTTAACTTGAGCCAGTGCATGTATAAAATATTGGAGTAATGACCGATAAGGATAAAGAGATAAAACTGACAAGACTTCCTAGCATCTGGTATTATGTTATTAAGCAATGAGAGCTTCACTCCAAAAGAAATTGGTCAGTGTGTCGTCAGGGAGTCCGGGGCCGGGGGCCCGGGGGGGGGGGGGGGGGGGGTATCGATCGCTAATTGAGGACGATTGGAATTTATTTCCTATTGCTATGAGTATGACAGTACAGTGATCATTCTTTTCCTAATGCTCCATGTGATCTTATCAGCTGATAAGCTTACCAGCTTAATGCAGTTATGAACTTAACATTATGATTAAATGCTTTAGATCTGTTGGGTCTTACCCATGATAATATCTTCAATTTCTCCAATGATTGTATCAAATGAGTTTGCTTCAGAGTGGGAATGTATATTCTCTTCTTCATCTGCTGACTGATTCAGCTCCATCTGAAAAAGCAATGGGCAAAGAAAAATGACAAAGTAAGTTGATATGCAAGTTATGCTCAAAGGTTGTGAACAGAATCCACTGGTAAGTAAAACAGAAATACCTACTTGTTAGATCAACAGGCAGAATTTAGCTTGATTATGTCAGTTCACTGTTCAGTCTGGACTCTGTCTGACCTGTGCTAAGTGTCAAATAACTAGGTGTTCAGCACAGACATCAACATTCAAAGGTTCATTAATTAATGACTAATTGATTACATTGGGAAATAAAACACGACGTTAACTGTACTACACTGGTTAATAATGTTTAATTAAGGTATGGCATTATTGCCATGTCTGTATCCATCAGGCTCAGACATGCATTTTCAGGCCAGGCCACCCCTGCAGAGGTTCAAAGTTGGCTCAATAGCTTCTTGGTACGCAATGTTGATGTCAGATGATTTCACACTGAGTCAAGAGAACTTAAGCTTTGGGGATGGAGCCAAAAGCATTGCAATTGGGGGTTGAAGGGATCTAATTGTCTAGTCACCATTGGCAGCTCAATGCAAGACTTAGGTATCACATGTTCAGTTTTTGTTTAGAGCCTAGAGGGTCAGTGAAACAGCCCTGTGAATACAACATCAACATGAAAATTTCTTTGGAAACTACGGCGGCGTTCGATGTCTCCCGGACGGCAAAGATTCTTTGCCGTCCGGCCAATAACGTCCAAGGTCAGCGGGGGCTCGGCTGCGGTTATGAAACGTGATTGGCCGGACGGCGTAGAATCTTCGCCGTCCGAGAGACATCGAACGCGGGGTACTTGAATAAATATATTCTTAATGTTTTGGTAAGATTGAGGTACTCAAGATACCTATAAGAAACGAGGTACTGTCACTGACATTTGACCGTCCGCATCCCAATTCAAATTCATCATCATTCTCAAATCTATCTCAATCCCAATACTTCTTGTCTTTGTCTTAGCTCTCCTCAAATTGAAATATTCAGTGAATCATCACTTATCCTACTTACCGTAGCAGGAAGGTGATGTTGTTGTAAAGGATTATTAATCTAATTATTTTTTATCAGCTTGAGCTTAGTTCATTCGACTTTAACGTGCACAGAGGTAGGTATCTGTAAAGAATCTTGCAAAGAGGACACATTCCTCTCTGCATGACAAACTTGCGATTCTGTTCTATGTCTGTTGTCAAAGTGCTAGTCTATGTCGTCCTGCTAGCGGTTGCCAGGCAACCTGGAATCGTTATGAGTTTAGGAGGCAAATAAAATGATTGATTCTACAAATTTCAATGACAGTGTTTATTTCACTTTCAATTTGACCTAAAAAGACATTGCAAAAAGCACAATAGTTTCCGTTGTATAAACTGACAGGACTTTAAGTAGCCATAAGCTGCTTATGAACACGGTTTCTGAATTTGGTGAGAGGCGGGAGTTTTGTATACCGTACCATTTTTACGATATCTTACGTTACCCACGTTACCTAGTCCGTGCTGCTGCGCGCCCTAACTCTTCAACAACAACATAGTCCGTGCTAATACCCACAGTGTATATAAATACTAATACCCACAGTGTATATAAATACTAATACCTATACCACGGTGAACCTATACTGCCTTGCTAGTACCTACTATCTGTAAGAATCTTGCCTAATACCTGCATTACCATCATAACATATCTTTACATTATTTAGGCTGGCAGTTATCCGCACGTAGGTATAGGAAGCATCGACGAGTTGCATGCAATTGTTCTTTATTGACAGTGGACAGATCTTGGACAGATCTTACGACGAAACAGCGCAGCGAAGGGTACCTGTGATTCATTCACCTCACACGGCGTCAATCATCTCCGTGACTCCCGGTTGCCGGTTAGGTCGAACCTGGGTGACGCTGGGTCAAACACCCGTCAGCCCTTCGGCCTCATGCTCTCTTAGCAAGAACATGCTTGATATGCTTCGTCCGTTATCAGATAGGATAGCGTTTCGAGCTTTCGTTGACGGTCTCTCGTGCATCAATCGGTGCGTACTGCGTTGATCGAGGAGTCTAGCTCAGCGGCCTCGTGGTCGGTCTCAGAAGTCGGCGTCCCTCAGTTTCAGCTCGGTGCGGGTCGGCTGGTACTTGGTGCCGGCCGGGGTGACCCACTGACTGACCAATTCGCCCAGATGCAAAACGCCGTTCAGGTTGGTGCCCTGTTGAAACTGAAGAGGATCGCGCCACCAGCCGGCGGACTGGCACGACCACGAGCGCAGGTAGGTGTCTGAGCCGCACGCGTAGAAGCGTGTGTCGCGGCTGGGCGTCACTAGCTCTGCGGTGGTGTTTCCCTCCAGCCAGGGCGCCGTCAGCCGGTACTCGTCGGCGGCGTCCAGCACGATCGGCCCGTAGACGGCGAACCACAGCTCGTCGTCCTGCCAGCCGTCTACTCGCAGCAGCTGAGGTCGGAGCTCGCCGAGTCGCGCGGCCGCCTCCAGTCCCAGCCAGTGGTCGCCGCTCGGCTGGCCGAAGCCGGCCTTGTAGGCGAGCAGCGGCTGCGCGAAGGAGGCGTTGGAGATCGGCCCGCCGCGGCGCTGCAGCAGGGTCCAGCCGCCGCCGTCCGTCGCCATGTCGCAGAACACGGGCCGTTCGCTGACGCTGACGCTGTACACGCCGCTGTCGCTGATGCCGGCACGGCGCAGCTCGGCGCAGTCGGTCGGCGGACGGCAGCCGCTCTCAGCCGGCCAGCAGATCTCCTCCGGGGTGGGCGGGCCGGCCCGCTCGAACCAGGCGACCTCCTCGTCGGCAGGCGGCTTGATGGGCTCGGCCGCGCCGCGGCGGTGGCTGGAGAGGCTGCAGGTGAACATGCCGTCACTCAGCCACCTCACCTGCAGCGCCTGGCAGCGCGGGTCGGCCACGCAGGCGGCGCGGCACTGGCACGCCGAGCCGAACTGCACTCTCCTGTAGATAGTGGTCGGCACCGGGCGCCAGGGGACGGCGCTCAGGTCAGCCCACAGTTCTGCACTTGGTCCACTGAGGAGGGCGCCGGCGAGCGGCAGCAGCAGGAGGGCCTGCAGGGGACGCATCGCGACGACTCTGCCAAGTGCTAAGGACGGTCTTAGATATTTGAGATAGCGCGTGGCGGATATCACTCAGCCAGTGAAGTGAAGGAGCAACTGCTCTTCACCAGTGCTGAGTGCTGACTGGTCGAAAGGACCCTACATGAATTATGATAGACGTTAGGCGCCATCGGCCAATGGGCACAATCTCCATTGTCCAGGGACGATTATTGCCGACGTTGATGGAGCTCGGGGCCGTATGCAAGTGTCCGTCCGTTCAAATTGGACGATGTAAAACGATGATAGGTCGCCATGTCGTACAACTGTCGGTGTCTTTCAGTTACGTCTTCATAGCTTTGCATTTAGCTCACTATGCTGCGTAATTTTCAGTCATTGGACGATGACGTCCTCCGTAATAATATGTCACTAGTATTGAGCTAAATGATACATTATACTAAACGACATCGTGTTGAATATGTTTTGATAGGGCGTGGGTCATTTACCGCTGGGCATTCTTTTTAAAGGGACCCTCCCACCTTAACATTAGTTTTGAGTTGAGATAGCCAAGTTTGCGGCCAGGCTCAGAAACCACCATTTATCCTTGTCGCAACCCCCGCAGCTTTATGGTGCTCAAGAAATTTCTTCCCTTTACTTGCAGGGTGGGACCAGCTTGGTCCCTATCTCTTAACCATTACGGGAATCTGATGACGTCATCAGGCTTTCGAACGTCCGTTAAATGTTTGACTAAAACGTTTTGTAGCACGCGGTGGTATATGCTGCTTTGCGCGCAACAAATGCCGCACTTTCAAATAAAGTCGCTAGGAACAGCGGAGATCCCAAAAAGTAAACAAAAGTAAAAGTCTAATATCTTGAAAACCGGTGAATATTTTTCGATGAAATTTGGTAGATATTCGTTTTTGCTCTTTCTGAACCGAGCGACATCATTTTCATGCCAATTCATTAACTTTTTTGAAGGTGGGAGGGTCCCTTTAATGTTGACGTGCGGGACCGTTTATTCATTCGCGTACCTCGATACCGCTGCCTCGTAGAAACGAAATGCGTAGGATGCAAATGCTGACTGCCCTGCTGATTGCCCGAGATCCGATTGAATAAATGAAAGCATGCAAAAGACTAGGCATTGTGTCGCGGACCGCGACAACCGCGACTCGCGGTGCTATGTGTATCGATGAAAGTTTGGTAATGTTTTACAACAAAGGCTTCATTCAGCTAACATCTTATCGTCATATTCTCCCAAAGATTTTAGCCTAACCCTATCCTCGTTAACCCGCGCCCCGTAATGTCTGTGAGTGTGAAGTTAGCGTCAGCAACAGCAACGAATACAGCGTCGGATTCAGAATCGCTTCAAAAACTCCTAACAGGTCAATTGGGGGACGGGGAGCAAGAATATGACCTTTATTTGGCCCTAGCTCTTACCCCTTACCCCTTAATCGGCCCTTAAAGGAAGGGGCGCGTCAAAAGTGCCTCAAGGGTTCGTCTGATCGCTAAAATATAAAGGGTCGCAATCGATTCCCCGGGTCAATATCTAGCCGCAGACTCGAGTTCCAGATGTGTGCAACTTACCCCTTACCCCTTAATCGGCCCTTAAAGGAAGGGGCGCGTCAAAAGTGCCTCAAGGGTTCGTCTGATCGCCAAGATAAGGGTCGCAATCGATTCCTCGGGTCAATATCTAGCCGCAGCCTCGGGTTCCAGATGTGTGAAACTTACCCCTTACCCCTTAATCGGCCCTTAAAGGAAGGGGCGCGTCAAAAGTGCCTCAAGGGTTCGTCTGATCGCCAAAATAAGGGTCGCAATCGATTCCTCGGGTCAATATCTAGCCGCAGCCTCGGGTTTCAGATGTGTGCAACTTACCCCTTACCCTTAATCGGCCCTTAAAGGAAGGGGCGCGTCAAAAGTGCCTCAAAGGTTCGTCTGATCGCCAAAATAAGGGTCGCAATCGATTCCTCGGGTCGAACTCAATCGATTCCTGTACGAACTCTTCCCCCGTGCTGGCGCCTGGCAGCACGCATTTTGAGGTGCCCGATCCCAAGAAGAATCACTCCCATTTGGCGCGAATCATGGTAATGACGCCGTTCCGACATTTACGGCGCAAGGATTGCTTACAATGCATCACAATGCACAAGGCCCTATATACAACAATGCATTGTGTTGTGAGAGGGGGCTGTGAGATCTGTGAGATATAAACTTGTTATAGCGTGTTTTTGGGCGAAAAGATTCTTGTGTTGTTGCCGTGAAGAGTGCCTGTATACTTATTAAAATGTGTGATGAGAATATACTCACCGATTTGCTGCCTGTTTATTATAGTAGGCTGTTTCCAAGTGACAAGTTTTGCAAGTGGCTGAGCTATGGGGGTGGTGAGTATTCTATTTTCTCTTTTATTTCACCGTGCTTCCTCAGGGTGCCCTTGTGGGCCATGGGTCAGTCTTATCAGCAGAAAATACCAGTTATGATAGCAACGCCATCCAATCCATACGGAAAAATACTGTTGCTTAGGCAGAAAGTAACAAGGAAGTCCCACGAACTGTCGGCTTTTTGGAATCAGGGGCTTGGGCATTTTTACATATTAAAAATAACCAGTTTATAACTTGCCGTTAATTAAACTGGCCATGAATTTTTGCTTGTAATGCATTTATGAAACAAAGTGAAACATGGTATTGGTGTGAAAGATCCTATTTTTCTAGAAGAACTGTGATGTGACAATTTGCAATCAGGGTGCAGATCAAGGGGAGACTATTGGCTCACTATTGGCATGTTCAATAAGATAGCACAAAAGTTCTTTACTCAGGTGACTGCATGCATTGATTGCACCTCTTGTCCATGTTAAAGTGCATCAGCTGGTAATTGTTAGCAACAGCTTCATTTAGCTCCATGGCAGTTAAACTTAATGCTAGTTTTATCACTGTAAAATGTATGGATGCTGGTTCTGTATTTTAGTCCATAGAGCACTGGACTCGGCATGGTGACAGCACTCATCCAGGCTTTAAAGGGACCCTCCCACCTTAACATTAGATTTGAGTTGAGATAGCCAAAATGGGGTCCCTGGCTCACAATTACCGGTTTCGGCACTTACAACATCGAGAAATGCCTTAAATCCGAAATATTGAATTTCAAAATTGCAGCATTTTGATTCAGAGGGGCTAATGCTTAGGAATACCCCTCTGAATGTGTGACGTCAGCGCAAATATCTAACGATTTTTAAATGTTTGACTAAAACGTTTTGTAGCACGCGGTGGTATATGATATTTGCGCGCAACATCTGCCGCAAACGCCGCACTTCTAAAATAAAGTCGCTAGAAACAGCGGAGATCCCAAAAAAATAAACAAAAGTAAAAGTCTAATATCTTGAAAACCGGTGAATATTTTTCGGTGAAATTTGGTAGATATTCATTTTCGCTCTTTCTGAACCGAGCGACATCACTTTCATGCCAATTCATAAACTTTTTTGAAGGTGGGAGGGTCCCTTTAATGGTCTGGGGTTTGAGGTGCAACAAGTGCCCGGTGCTTATGAGTCTCTTCGCAGGTATGGTTGCAGGTCCATGTTAACCCTATTCCTGGCGGGGGGGGGGGGGGGCCTCAGGAGCCCCCCCTGAGGTTTTTTGGTTATTTCTCCCAAACGCGTTGAGCTAGGAAGCTCAAATTTTCTGACTTTTCCTAAAAGGCTTCTACGCAACATGTCTGAAAATTTTGAGTTGATCTGACCTCAGGTCAGGTCACCAGAGGCGGTTTGGTGACCCTACCTCAGAAAAGTTTGCAATCACGCCAGAGCTAGAGTTTTTGACCGATCAATTTCTTCTCTTCAGGCTTTAGTTAGGGTACCAGTATGTGCAATCTGTATATCTCGGAATTTTGATATCGGTGACCTAAGGTCAGGTCAGTTTCGCGACCTCCCCATTATAAGTCAATGGGGGAAAAATCAACTCCCTGTTTTTACCACTAAAACGGGTCGGAATGGCCCCATATACCATACATGACTTCATATACGATCAACCTTCACTACCTTGAGGTCTGTTTTGCTGTTGGGCAGCTGTGAGGTCATGTGACGTCATCAAAGGTCACCAAAGGTTTTTGGCCAATAACTCCGTACAGGAACAAGATACAGACGCGTGGATGGTCTCATTGTGTTCAGCTCGTCAAGACGCATCGAATGATATACATGATGACCTCGAGGTCACGTGACCTGAGGTCAACCTTTGACCTTGACCTTTCGAGGTCAACATATATATCATTCGATGCGGATTGACGAGAGGATCACGACGATGCCCTTAGTTTGTTCCTATCTTGACTAATTCGAAAGTTATTCGAGAAAAACTCTCTCCATATCTAGCACCACCATTTTGACTTTTTCGACCCCTGTGACGTCATCTTTGACCTGACCTGAAAATGACCTTATTAAAAATTGTAGATCTTGACCGTGCGTATCCGATGCCGTTTACCGTTTGTCGCTGCGATGTGTAGTTTTTGAGATCTGAAGGGGGGGGGGCCGAATCGGCCCCCCCCCGCCAGTTTCTTGTCCTGGCGGAGCCCGCCAGGAATAGGGTTAATCCCTCTGTTCAAAAGGTTGTCAGGGACCGCGGATTCAAATTCTCGTAGGGTGTGCAAGATGTGGCGATTGGGCCCCCCATCTCACGCCGGGCCCCTTCCAAAAAGTCAGCGCCGCCACTGCTCCGGAATAAGCCGATTCTAAAGAAGCGGGGCGGGAAAACCTTCAAAATTGACGGTCGTAAGATGACTGAGCGAGCATCTTACGGTCAGGAGATGCATGAGCAGAGTAAATGCACATGCATGCATGCAACGTGATCCAAATCGATCTCCGATTTTCCCAAGCAGGCCCCCTAAAGGCTTACAGTGACCTTCAAGAGCCCCTACGGGTCTCAGAGAGCCCTTTTGCACAGTTGATGTTGGCACACTTCTTTTTATCATGGATTACATGAATTAGTTTAAAAATAAAACTTAAATAAACAACAATAAAACACGGCCGGCGGGATGTTTGGGCCCATCGATTTGGCCCCTATGACCTATGGGGGTCTGGCCTCCGGCCCCCTTAGCTTCCCCATTGCTCTACGGCCCCATAAAGGCCGCACGCCAGCTCCTGAGACCCAACGCCGGCAATTCTAAGGGTCACCGGCGCACCGCACACGGTCTTTGAAGGTCCCATAACGGCCTCTGGAATACCTCATGTACAGTCCACAGCAGAAGTAATGTGGGGTTTCAGTCATGGGTATGTTCTGCTTCTGAAGCTTAGGAACGATTGACCAGACTACAATGAAATTTTGAATGTAGCTTATATGTATCGTCACCCTTGCAGCTGCAACTTAAGCTATTGACATCTTCTTTTCGATCACTCCGCATTAAACAATCGCCAGTCAAAGCCAACCGTTGAGATTGGTAAAACCCTACATTACTTTAGCGGTGGGCTGTACATAAAAATATGGATGCCCATGCCGCTTCTTGGGCCCCCACACCGGGCTCTTTGACACCGTTCGCCGGCTCCATGGGGTAGCAACTACCAATAGTAGCGGCGGAACACCTTCAATTAAGGGGGGGGGGGCACTGCCGACTTTTGGTCCCATTCTTTCCATGCAACGCCCATAGGGCTAATGTTAAAATGCCCAAATCAAAGGGGGGCACGGTGCCCCGGTGCCCTCCCCGTTCCGCCGCCTATGACTACCAAGCAAGCTCGCCTGGAGGTCCCCCACCGTCTCTTGGCGCCCGAGTAGCCTCGATGCCTGAATAGGGCCCCCGAGACATCGACCTTGGCCAAAAAGCGTTCGTGTAGGCCCTCAGAAACTGGTGTGAGCCCTGAGATTACTGTGTGGGCTACTCAGGCACTTCTGTCGGGTCATCATGCATCGATTTGGGTCCGAGCTAGTGAGGGTTATCAGAAGCATCCTTTAGCCCTGCGACTTTAGAGGTTGGTGTGAGATCCTAAAAAAGAAAGTGAGGGCACTCCGAGGCTTGCAAAGGGCTTTTCCTCGGAGGTCGGCCTTGGCCGAACGGCGTTCCTCAAACTGGTGTAGGGCGCTGAGATTACTGAATGGGACTCTCGAGTATTGGCATGGGGCCCTCAGCTATCAGCACGGAGCCCTCAGGAGCCGGTAAGGGCTCCTCTGCGGCATGCATATTGCATAAGCCATCCGATCTCAGAGGCTGGTGTGAGATCCTAAACAAGAGCTGAGTGCACTTAAAAACCTGCCTAGGGCCCTCAGAGAGCAGCTTTGACCAGACGGCGGTCGTGGACGCCCTTAGAAACTGACGTAGGGGCTGCCTCAGTCGGTCGGCCCTCTCACATCAGCCTGGGGATCTCAGGAATCGGCCTGGGGCCCTCAAGAGCCGGTTAGGGCCCTTGGAAAGTGGCATTATACCCTGAGATAGCTGTGTAAGGCCCTCGGGTAACGGCTTGGGGCCCTCGGGCATCGGCCTGCGCCCCCGGGCATTGGCCAGAGGTCCTTGGATATCGGTCTGGGGGCCCTCAAGAGCCGGTGACTGGTGAGGGCCTTCAGAAACTGGTATGGGGCCCTGAGATAACTCTGTGGGCTTTCAGGTGCTGATGCGGGACCCTTAGGCATCGGCCCCAAGAGGGTGTTAAGGAGGGCAGGGGGCAGGGGCCCTCAAGAGCCGGTTAGGGCCCTCAGAAACTGGCGTGGATCCCTGAGCTAGCCATGTAGGTACTCAGACACCGGCGTGGGACCTTTAGACATCGACTTGGGGCCCTCGGGCATCGGCCTGGGCCAGAGGCGGATCCAGCTCAGAGGTTTGGGGGGGGGGGGGGCAAACCATAAAAATTTATCGATTCTTTCCATGCATCGTCCATAGGCGTAATGTTAAAATCATGCCGTTTGGGGGGGGGGGCAAATGCCCATTTTGCCCCCCCCCCCCCTGGATCCGCCACTGGCCTGGGCCCTCAAGAGCCGGTGGGAGCGCTAAAAAATGGCGTGGGTGGGGTTCTGAGATAACCCCTGAGATAACACTAGAACCTGTTCAGTGTTCACGCCTTCAGGCACCGGTGCGGGACCATCAGGCTCGCGCTGGGGCCCTCGAGAATCGGCTTGGGACACTCAAGCGCCAGGGCCGCATGGGCCCCCACAACGATCTGTGGGTGTGCAAAAATAGGTGTTTGCACACCCTCAGGATTTTCAGGGTGTGCAATTGCACACCCTGCCCCCCGGAATCCGCGGTCCCTGAAGGTTGTGATTAAATTTATAAAAAAGATATAAATGATTTAGTTGCTTTGAGTAACCTTGTGCTTATACAAAATCTATGATTGTGACTGTCCCCTTTCAGATGTCCCAAACTATCTAGACCGGCGAGAAATGTCCTTCACACTGGCTGATGATGTCTACATCCGGTACCAGTCTTTCAAAGATGCAGAAGAGTTTCAGCAGGAGCTCAAGAAAAAGTGTCCACACAAGATCGATATTGGTGCAGTGTATAACCACAAGTGAGTTGTGAAAAGTGATAAGCTACCTCCTGTGAGATGCAACTAACACAATTTTTCCCTTATAATTTCACAATTGCCGCACTTTTAATTCTCAATCATTTTAAGCTTATTTACGCATTGATTCCGTAATGTCAGCCTCACCCAGCCCCTTCTCTGCAGGCCCAAGGAACGGAACTCTGTGGCCGTTTTCCAGCCGCAGGAGAAGGAGCTCGTCTTCGATATCGACATGACCGACTACGACGACGTCAGAACCTGCTGCAGCGGCGCCGACATCTGCCACAAGTGCTGGAAGTTCATGACCATCGCCATCAAATGCATAGACGACACGCTGCGAAGTACGTGCGGTTTGCGATCATATCTAACACTTGTTACACTTCACCGCTGTTGCGACTTTTCTTTTGCCCCTTAGAATGCTGTCAGAGAAAAAGAAATAATTGTGTTTTGTTTGATATTGATTTCACACTGTGCATATTCAAATGACCTTTAGGGAAGGATTTGGTTTATACGTCGGTAAACGCAAACATCTCTGTTTAATTATGTACGACTACGTTTTCCTTGACATTCATCATTGTATCCTGCACCTAACTATGGCACCAGACCACCCAGCATTCACCTGTACCCCGTGTCCGTCGTCCGACAGAGGACTTTGGCTTCCACCACCTGCTCTGGGTGTACTCGGGACGGCGCGGCGTGCACTGCTGGGTGTGTGACGCCGCCGCCCGCCGGCTCAGCCAGCAGGCGCGCGGTGCCGTGGCCGAGTACCTGCAGCTCATCAAGGGCGGACAGAATCAGGCCAAGAAGGTCTCCATCGGCGCACAGATGCACCCCATGGTCGAGTGAGTACCGTGCGGAGTGGAGAGAGCCGACTCCGAGAGGGTAAATCGGTAATTTTACAACGAGATAGTTGGCAGCATGTATCGGTGTATGTCTGCCAGTGAAGTCTTGTCGGATCACCGAAGGGTATTTCATTTTAAAGCTCGGCTAGACCTGGTTCTGTAAACGGGCTCCTGGGACTTGCGCATTCACGACGTTTCGATTCTAACTGAACCGATTGGCGAGCAAGTGGAGGCCGCCCGAGCCTACGGCGCCCGTGTCGCCACCTATCGGAGCAGCGAACTTCGTTGATTTGTCGATCACTCCGCAAGGGCCGATCACGCTTTAATTGTTGTTGAGCACCAAGCAGGTAATGTATTTTCATTTGTCATGGTTTGGCTGCTACTGAACACGCGCTTATGCATGGGCCGTTTTCTCATTTCAAGAACGACCTCATTGCGTTGTACCATGATAATGCTTAGGTTCGTCTTCGGGGTGGTCTAGCCTGTCTGACCCCGCTCTGGACAATGCTTTCTATTATCCACCTGTGTTCTCTCTAACCTATTCTCTCAATTTCTTACGGCGAATTACCTCATCTTCCGTATTTTCCATCCACCTGTGTTCTCATTCACCGCCGGCAATCTCTGTCGTCATCCACCTCATCCCCCGTCAGACGTGTGCCCCCCCCCCCCCCCGCTCCTCCTAGGTCAGCATTGTCCCCGACGGCTTCGACGCGCGTCACCGCTCGCCCCTGACACGCTCGTGAGCCCCGTCCCAGCCGCTCCGTCCGCTGACCGCGCCGTGCCACCCAGGAGTAATCAGATTGTGAGAGCGTCCAGAGCCGATTTGGCCGTGTCGCCGCGACGTCAGCCGACCGGCGCCGCTGATGCCGTGACGTCTGTTGGTCTCTGAGCTGACGCCATGACGTCTGTCCGTCCGGGGTGGCTCGGCGAGATCGGCATGCCGGCGCTAGGCCCCCCGTTCACAGACAGTAAACAGATGTGCCAACCTCGATGGCGACGATGTCGCGGACTGGGTAGATTTCCGCAGATGGCTGCGGTTTGTCGATTTGCCGGCGGATTTCGAATAATCGAGACAAACTAGCCTTCCTGTTGTTTGTTACGGTGGGATGGTGTAATTTTCTGAGATTTCTCTCGGTCGCTGGCTGTTTGTCATGTCTAGTCGCGGACAAACCATCCGGGTTTATGAAGAGATACTTCGGGAGGGGAAGACCACCTGTTGCGCATTTTGTCAACCAGTTTTGGGACGTTAATCTTTTTGTTGACGTCTGGCGATGTTATCAATGGAATATGTTCGTACCAGGCAGACCTAGTGTCACCAAACAGCGTCTGGTGATTATCTATCGAACAAAGCGTGAAGTCACTTAAACTTAAGAACTTAGTCCGTATTGCTCAAGGATACGGGTAAACGAGCGTGATCTCGGTATACTAGGATAACCATGATGGTCAAACCTGTCACCTTTCTAATTCTTTAAGTCATGATATTGTTGACAACTCGATGTTTAAGTCATGATATTGTTGACAACTCGATGTTTGGGAAATTTGCAAACGCATATAAATGTTTCAGGATGTGAGGTCTAAACCAACCTCTCAATTACTTCTCCATTTCGCTCTCCATCTCTGCAATATGTATGTTTATCCCCATATCTGCTTGTTTTTCGTTCGTATATATGTGTGACAGTGCGTTAGCTGCTGTTGACTGATTGCTCCCTGTGATTCAGGCGATTAGTGCAGGCGTCTGAATGTCCCTATATGTATCTATGTATCTCGTGTTCGTATGTCTGTGCACCAGTGTGTGTGCTGCTGTTGACTGATTGCTCCTTGTGTTTGACAGACGGTCAGTGAAGACGTGCCGACAGTACTTCCGAACTGTCTGCCTTGATGAGCAGGACATCTTCGCCTCTACCGAACAGCACACGACGGTACGTGCTTCGAGAATGCGTATCGAAGTAGGTGGCTCACTCTATGCTTTCCGCGCTTATTAAGAAACGGTTAACCGTTTCTTTATAAGGGCATGGATTAATCGCTAGGTAGTCATGGTGTCGCCACCAAGTTGCAGTTTGTGATGAGGTCCAGTTATGATTTTAACATTTTTGGCCTCTATGAAAATGGAATTGTTGCTATTTAAGAGCTGAACGTTATTGTGACTTGCGACTTTCAATGACAAATCCGTGTGATCCGAAGTCTGATGGAATTGGCTGGATCTGGTCGTTGGATGTCATCCTATCAAAGTCGAGCGGTTTTATGTCAGTCAATGGCCTTTCTGGGGACATGACCTGAACGATGAAGAGGTCATTTGCTCTGCTGGATTGGTTCACTCGATATTATATTAGCGTTAATATAGCTGTTTAATTTCCTTTCATTTTGTTTAATTTCATTTCATTCATATCGATATCGGTCTCATTGCCTTCTGAAGCCTGTAAATGCTGTAAATTATCTTCAGTGACGTATTGAGTGGCAGGTGACGTAGGTGCTATTATGAGGCTTTGATGGTGGCACTTACACTTTATGACTGTACTGTAATTGGCTCTGCCAGTGCCAAATACAGCCTCGCGCCCGGACCGGTGGCAGCGATACCAATCTCGCTGAGGGCCTCGTACTGACTCAGGCTGTGCAAAGCCCAGGGATTGATTTTGACACGGCTATGCTTGCTGCTCAAGTGCATGCCTGACGTTAATATGCAGGAAAAGACGGGAAGTGTTCTATAAATAGTGTGTATTTGCGCCATATTGTTCAACATTGCTTACGTTATTATTAGTGTGATGATGGGAGCATGGGGGACGTTATGGACAAAACAAAGTTCAACATCGCACATGTGCAATATGAAAACTGAACTCACTTTCCTTGCGAGTGAGGTTCATGGTCGAATCTCTTCTTCGCATTGTTTGGTATCTTTGGCCGTTTTTAGCTACAATGTCATATTTAGTACATTTATTTGCGCTATTTAGTTTCCAATCACCATCTAGTGCTGACGGGGCGCACTCCTCCGGCAGCTGCTGAAGCTAATCCCGGACGATGCCACGCGCAAAGAGCTGGCCACCTCGTTCCTCAAGCTAAAGACCTCCAAGGACAAGTGGGAGGAGCTGGAGGGAGTCTTCACCAGGAATCTCCATTCGGTGAGTACTTATGATTTTACATGCAAATCACAGAACGCAGGTAGAAATATCTCATCGGTAACGGTAGCAGGAAATAGGCACATTACCATCGCTCTTTGGGAGAGATGTCGAATGCAAAACAGCGCTTCTACTATCAGACATTATCATTTCATTAACATTCGTCAGAATTTGTGATAGAAGAGTCGCTTCTGTGTGTTCGCTTCCCGTTGCCGCGTGACTCCTCAACTACATAGACATCGAGTTCAGGTTCGGCCGACAGCGACGCCGCCGGCTCCGGGGCACGTGCCTTCTCTGCGGGGTTCCACGAACAGCGAGACAAAGCTGTGGACCGCGAGTGGGGCTTCTGGTTCACAGAAATGCATCTGTTCTGGACAGCGGTTGCCATGCTAGCCAACGTAGCTACTAGCTATATCTTAGGTAGCGGTGAAGAAGAAGGCTGCTTACGTCTTCCACGCGATTGTGGGATTCGACCGCGTCGAGACGGAGATATTACAGATTTGGCGAAACTGAGCTGGCGGAGGCAACACTCGAATGGGTGCACCGAATAAAAACAGCGCGTAGCGAGATTGACTGAACTAACTACGATGAAGAGAACAACTCTTCCCGTTATACAACCAATGACATCACATTTTTAAAAAAGTGCGAGACGATAAGCTTTTTAGTGATCATGCGTGGAATTGGTATCAGGCACAGTCAACATAATATCGATGTGTGTTCTGAATTTCAGTTATTAATTATATAATGCATATAGTTACGGTCCGTGTTGCGTTTTACGTGCAACCCCATGCAAGTCATGCTTCCTGAAAACTGAAAGTAGATTTAGTGAAAAATAGCCTGTGAGTGACGTAGGTAAGTGGTACTTCCCCGCACGCGAAAGTAGAAATGGGGATACGGTGCGAAACAACTTGATAGTTATCAGCTGCCTCTAAACCGAAAAAATGGGGCGACCAACCATGGCGTTTTTCTGTTCCACAGGCGTGCGCTATTTGTTCCTGAGTTAACATGCAACAATAGAGTGATATGACGCACTGATAGACGTATGATAAACGCCGATATACCTAACCACTCCTTCGAGCAATGCATCAGATAGGCGAACTTTGATAATGGACTGACACGATGAGAATCCGACAGTGCCATTTCACTGATTTGCCGTAGTAAATCCAGAGTGAAGTGACCATGTCTGACCCATGCCTGGCATCGTCTGCGGCGTGTCTTCTGTTGTGGATGTCGTAAAATATCGTATACTTTATTGTTCAAAGTTAAATACCAAGCGACATTGTTGTGCCGTTTCGCGGTATCGCCTTATAGTATTATGCATCTTACTTACTAAATTTGGTTTTTGTTTTGCTCAGCCAGCATCTTCAACCCTCAAGGACGACACCTACAATCTCCAGTTACCTTGCTGTTGGGTTTCTTCTCAACTCCAAACCCCAGCCTCCGCTGACACTGTGTCCTCTTACCTGCGTCACCAGGGTAAACTGAGCCGCTCGACGAGCCCCCGTCTGCTCGAAGAGATCATCCTCCAGTACACCTACCCCCGCCTGGACATTGAGGTCACTAAGGGGCTGAACCATCTGCTGAAGGCGCCCTTCTGCGTCCATCCCAAGACGGGCCGCGTGTGTGTGCCCATGGAGGCGCGCGCGGCAGACAAGTTCGACCCGATGGCTGTCCCGACAGTCAGGTGAGGGAGCGGTGGTGGATGTGGAGAACTGGAGTGCGGTGTAACGGAGGGTCGATGGGATGGAAGGGCCGATGGGATGGGAGAGGAGGCCGGTGACAAGTTAGGGTGCGAGAAATGACGATTGTCTTTGTGTGCGTGTGAACCGCGGAACCGAATAACGTTTTCCGATAGCTTGCAGCCATTCAGAATTCTACCTCATCAGTTTGCCACGATTTCCAAGCAGTTGACACCAGTGCCCTGCGATACTTCGAGTTTCCCTTGTTCAGGCTATATGATATTTTATTTTGTATATTTATTTTGTATATTTTAAAATATATGATAATATATTTATTGAAATGATACCTTATCTTATCTGCCCCCCCCCCCCCATCCAGTCAGCTGGAGTCGGAGCTGAACGAAGCGCTGAAGAACCAGGAGGCGCCGCCGGCCGACGTGTCGCAGCCCATGCTGACCAGTCTGAAGCCGGCCATGCAGCTCTTCAACAAGTTCCTGGCCGGTCTCGACCGGGAGCGGTCGACGGTTAACAAAAAGGACGGTACGTTCAATTCAACGTTATTTATCTAAGTGTGTTACTAAGAACGTTTGTACATGGATTTTAGATGGTGTCCATTACGATGTTTTGCATTCAGCGTGTTTTATTAAAGTTTATGTGGAAGCAATCCACAATAACTAGCGTATACTGCTTGTATTTTCTTCATCTTGAGAAAGGTCTGTTAGGCATTCAAACCTTTCCAATCCTAACTACACCTGCCTGTGTCGGTTAAACAGCTCACGTCAGGCGATGTTGGTTCCGCAAGCGGTTGACAGTCCGTCCGTCAAATGTGACGGCTCCGCTGTGGACCTCGTCCGTCATCTGTCATTCGCTAAACTGCTGGGTGTGCAATGGTCACCCTTGCAATGACTCATCCGGGGCAGAACTGAGGTCACCAGCTAGACCAGAAAGGTTGCTGAATGTGTAACGCTATAGGTCTGCCGCAGTCCAGCGCCGAGTCCACATCAGAATCTTGGTGGTTTGTCTGGTTTCGAATTCGATGTATAATTTTCGACACAATCAATGGCAACATCCGGCTTGAGCTTTACAGTTGTTTGTTATCAGAAGATTTACCCTAGCTTAGCAGTTTGACGCAGCGTTTCAGTTAGCTGTCAGAACTGGCTTGTTTGAGAAGGCTGCTGCCCGGCGCTATCTGTTTTGCAGATGTTGCGCAGTGGCCGGGCTAGCGTGATAATGTTACGAAATTCCTAAGAGTTCATCAGATAGTCCCATCCCACACTATATTTGTGGGGATTTTTCTACCCACTTGAAACCGCAGAGGCTACAAATAAGCCAATATATGAAGTTATCAGCGATCAATGTCCCGTTTACCGTTGGGTTGAACGGTGTGCCCCGACCGGAGCCTGGTGAACCGCTCAGGGCTCTGACCTTTCTTAGCGATAGCCGCGTGACTTGGGGATGGTGTAACGCTTCTTACTGGCTCTGCGTTTCGTGAAACCTGTATACCTATTTTGAGTCACAAAGCCTTGAACTATTTTGAACCTTCAAAGTTTTTTTTTTCTCTCAAAAGACATTCACGACGGCTTCTATAGCAAAATTTAGAATCGATTTATTAAGTAAGATTGGTGTGAGTCATTCCAATGAACCGAAAGGGCGCCACGATCAGATTATCGGTCTGTGAGTCAGAAAAGCGTGATCCGAGCATTGCCGGAGAAACCATCGCCACTGCTTGTTCGTTAGATGGCCGCTGCTGTCAGCCTTCCGAGAACTATACACGACATGGCTGACAATCGGTAATGCCTCGACATTTACAACTCCACAGCTGGTAATGACTAAGATAGTAGTAAACAGACAACCAAAAACGGACACGTTTACCGACTAACCAGTACGACTCGTGTACGCCGCTGTAACTGTCCAGCTTGTGTGTGTGTTTTACGTTTCGTTATTTCCCGTTGCCTGGCTGGTGGCAGCGTTCGCCGTTGCCACGGTGACCGTTTGCGTCACTGGCCGCCCGGCCTGCGTCATTTTCGTGGACCACCAGCCGTAAATGGAGTGACTGGCCCTTGCCAGGATTGTCGACAGGCAATTTAATCCAACAAGAACCATTTTAACAGGCCGTTGTAAGGATTGTGTTTGGTGTTCTGGTGCATGACGGAGCGCCGTGCTAGCAACCTTTATGTGAATAGGAGATTAAAAAGACAAAATTGTGCAAAACGAACCGTGAGAGCTCCTCCAGACCGTAACCATGTTAGCAACTGATACGCCACTTTCCCTACTATACCCACTCGTGCGGCTTGTGACCGCCGATTTGAGCAGTTCAGTGCCATAAATGCACTTTTATCCAACAGGGATTTCACCACATAACTGAGACATGAGACTATCCTGGTGATGTGCTGCGAATCTTTGACGCATTGCTACAATCATCAGCTCTATCAGGCTTTCACGTTTGCTCAATCATTATTATTATTATTTCAGATTTGAAAGGTCGGCCAATGTGGCCGACTTTGTGTCATCCGTGTGCGTGTCAACCCCCAAAACTGTTGTTCGACCGCTATCGTTCCTCCTCCCTACCCGATTGTGATGGCTCTCCGAGTGACCCATTCTCTCTGTTCCGTTTCAGACCCGATGGAGTGGTGATACGACTCGGCTCTCGGCATTCTTCGCTTGTTTATTATTGTACACAAAGTCGCCGAACTGTCACTCACAATACACACATACATACATACATACATACATACGAGTACAACGTGTTCACACAAACAGGTATCGCTCACACGCCCTCTGGGAGCGCTGTCATGATCGTCACAGAAAAATAAAACATATACATCTGGTCCCAACTGTCTGCTTTCCCCGGAGGTGGAGGCCGTCCACGTCAGAACGTCACCAGTAGGATCGCTCTCACTCGCCCTCGATCCGCAGTGATCTATAACGATCCTTAGCGATCCCGCGATCCGGGCGATTCAATCCAATCCACCGGCTCCGTCGGATTCCAACACAGGAGTCCGAGGTCCGACCGGTCCCTCTCATCGACCCCCGGCGGACGCAGGTAACAAGTGACAACAGAAGGTACAGGCGCTCGCCGCAGAGTGGCGCTGGCGTCTGCCGTTAGGAGCGGCAGCGGCGCCCGCTCGGTAACTCGGGACTGCTGACGGTACGGCGCGGTCAAACCCCGCGTCTCAGACGAAATGGTGGCTCCAGCGGGCTGATCTCCAAGTTTCAAAACCGCGGGATACGCCCCCGGTCCGAGACGGCTCAAAGATCGACCGTCCAGGTCGCAACAAAGTGAGCTCTCGGCTCGAGACTCAAACTGAGCGCTCTGTCAGCTCGAGAGGCCGGGTAACTCCCGGCGCGCGAGGTGGCGAGGTTCCTGGTGGCCGGCGCTGGCGGCGCGAGGTGTGTGCAGAGCGGGAGGGACGGCCGGGGCCGCTCAGGTGGTGGAGCCGGGCCGCGGCTGGTGGCTGGAACCACTCAGTCTTCGCTCCACCTGCTGCACGACCTGCGGAAGGACCGAGGGAGGACGGTCAGGGTGCTGCTGCGGCCAGGGCTCGGTCGGATAGCAACGGAATGTAGATATGTCGTGGTACGAATGTATAAAGTCTGACTGATGAACTGAGGGCTTTGGGTACACGGCGAGAATGAGAAGGGCATGATGTCATCGCGACTAGCGTGGAGCATAAACTCCTGTGAGAAAATTTTAAAACTAAAAAGAACCGCCACCGTCGTGATCCATATAATCCCAACTTACTGCCGAGCCCACTAAAATAATCAAACAAACTAACCAAATTCAACTAAACAAATTAAAAGACCGCAACTCCCATCTGGCAGGGCGATTGCACGTACTACGTACTAGCCCGTGCTGGACGTTAATGACAGTCCGGCCCGGCCGTCTCTGGGAGCGCCGGGCTCGGGCCCGCCCACAGGCGCCGCATCATGCTGCTCACCTTGCAGAGGTTATCGAGCCCGGTGAGATAGCCCTCCTCGCGGTTGCCGAGCTGCCACGGAGAGCGGTGGTCGACCGTCTGGCCGTCGGGCAGTCGGCTGGTCTTGGCAAAGTCGATCATCCAGGCGCCCGATCGCCGCCGGTCGTACACGAGGAAGATGCTGCTTCCGATCACCTGGAGCGATGGGAAAGACGACGGTCAGGTCGGGGAGAGAACGGGATGGGTGGGACGGGGCGTGCTTATGACGCAGTCTGCAATGAGACTAATTAGACTGGACTAGACTTAAGAGACTGAGTATACGAACAGAAATAGAGCTTCATCAGTTAGATGCTGGAGACGGTTGCGCTACAAGCCTGATGTGAGCGAGACGGGTCTACGGTGTGTTGATAAATCTCACTATAAACTGTTTAAATCGCTTATTTTAAACATAATTCTGTCCCTTATCTTTTACCCGCCCGTGGAAGCTCGGTGACCACCATCACCTCTGCTCGGCCGCCCGTTTGCGCCCGTCTAATTAGCAGAGTGCCGCCGGCCGCGTGGCTGAGGGCCTTAAACACGAACCGGCGTCATTAGCCAAGCTGTTAAGCTGCCTTCGAGCCTGCCCCAACCAGCTTAGCGGGCCTCGGCCGGCGCCAAACGAGCACGATCCCCGCTCGCCGGGCCGACTCCATTGACTCCGAGCCGTTCATTGACTAAACATGACTCCACGTGAAGGTAGTAAACGCGTCAGCCTTTGACTCCTCAATGACTCCACGTGACTGTGATATCAAGTGGTAGGCGTCGAGCCGGGCTGTCCCATGACTCTCCGTCGACTTCACGTCAAAGGCGCTCGGAGGCGCTTCATCACTGCGCTCGGTAAGGTACGACACTGATGCAACGTGTGCGCTGTGCAGTGTTGCCATGGCTTGGGGCGGGCCGTGGTGATTCTAATGTCAGACTTCAATGACTGTGGTCTATGGAGGAATTCTAATTAATGACCATAACTAAGGCCAAGAAACTCTGGTTCAGGCAGCTCGTTATGTTGCAAGTAATCATTCCAAGAGACAGAAATTGTCATTCCTGGAGCAAGATGCCATACATGCCTTCCCGTTAGAGGCTATGTAGATCAAGCTTGCGGTTCGTCCAGCACTGATTAGGGTGCAGGCATTCTGATAGCGGCCCGGACCGCGGCGCTGGCGGTCTGTTTGAAGTCCCCCAAATCTGCTTAACCGTGCCGGAGGGCACTATCAATCGGCCCCACATACTGCCGAGCCCTTGACGGCAGCGGCAGCGCAGCGGGGTTTCAGGCCAGTGGGGACACCGCTGCCATGGAACGACCACTAGTCCACAGGGTCCGCGCCAGCCCGCCGGCAGTCGCAGCATTTACAGCCCGTGTATCGTATTCTGGCGTCGTGTCCCTGCGGCGCACTGGGGCGGGGAGGGGTGCTCCAGCGAGCCCGATATGGAGCGGTGACATGGCGACGGGCCGGACAGAGACCTTGGCACCGCTCTGAACGGGCTGAGAGACGGCCTGGGCACGTGCGTACGCTGCTGTCCGCGGGACCTCCACCGACACTTGAGGAGCGTGGATCAGTGGGCACATCGTTCGAGCCACTGCCTGTTGTGTTTCCTGTAGCTGTGGCCTGTGAGAACCAGCCATTGACATTTCAGATACGCAAGATTTCCTAAAAGCAAAGCTGTGCCTCCCGTTTTCTGCTAATTTGACACATTCACACTCCAACCATGGGACTTGTCTCCTGTATCTTCCAACATTTGCGTGCATTACTCGGTACCTTTTTCGTACCCGCTCCGGTATCCTCTCCCCGTCCACAATCCACGCTAGTGTCTCAGCTCACCTCATGTCTCCGGAAGAAGGCGCTGGCCTCGAACTTGTCCCTGATGTTGGTCAGGTGGGCGAGTATCTGACGCGCCACATCCGCCGAGCCCAGGTACACGGAGATGGTGTACAGCACCTCCTCCCACGCGCGGATCCGCTTCAGGTCCCGGATCGGGTCGCTGCCGCGCATCTGTAGCAAGAGAGAACGGGGAGGTGAGGTCCTCGGAGCCCCTTGGAGAGCGGGCAGGTGTGGCTTGAATTCTGAAGGCAAGAGAGCAGATGGAGGTCAAATGAGGGCATGAGCTTTGTACGGACGAGGAAGCAGGTTTGTAAGGATAAGATGAAGTCAAAGAGTCGTGGTCCATGGGGGAGGGGCGAGGCAAATGTTAAGCAACGGGTTCCGATAACCGGGGTTGACCAGTAAGTGGTGGAGTGCCACGTCAGCTCGTCGCAGCGGACGAGGTCATCACACTCCTGGACAACGGAAGGATTGGCTGAAGCTTCGCCGAAAACCAGACAAAGGCACCATCGTAGGGAGGGGGAGGGGTGAAGAGCTTTTGCTGTCCCTTTGTCGGTGGTCGTGGAACCACAAAGGGCTTCAGCAATGGCTTTGGATAATTCCTTCCACATAACACTCGCTTTATTCGTAATGCCCAGGTGTCCTAATTAAAGCGAACCTGTAACCAGCGCAAATAAGCCTAAGGATATTGCACGCTCTTCTCCAGAACACAGTCGTCATTTCTGGGAATTTCGCAGCCTCTGGCGTTGGCTAATCGGTCTTTATCCCTCCGTGGTTTGTCGGTGGATTTTCCAACATTTCCATGCCATCCATTTCACGGCGGGCCGCGGTTTCTCCACGCTGTGATGGATCGCACTCCACACCAGGGGGCGTCGACGCCAGTTTTTGTCGAGCGCCTCAAAAGCGGTCCACGCATCGGGTTGATCGAGCACCCATCTAACCTTGGCGTCTCCCCGGGCCATCGAAACGAGCTCATTAGACCTGTCGCCTCGCCCAACGCACAGTTCCTCCAATCCCTAACTGTCTTGAAAAGATCCAGATTCTTCCTAAGCTATCTCACCAGAGAACGATGAGTTCCTATTTGACGCGTGGGCCGTTGATCGGGAACTCGTCCCATCAACTCTACGTGTTAGAAACCCGCCCGTTGCAATGGTCAGCTTTTCAGTTAACTTAGTAGGTATACAGTTTCTCCGTTGCTATGAGGATCTACCGGTACGTGACATCCGTGGCGCTGAGAACATACCGTTCGTGGTGCAAGAAGCAGTCATGAGTCACGACAAAAAGGTCGCGCAGCTGCCAGAGAACGGGTCCGACCAACTCAAGCTAAACCTCGTCCCGTGTGAGACATTCCAGACGCCGCAGCGGAGCCTGACACCAGAAAGTCGGCTTTCACGGCTGGCGATTGCGGTTCTTCCTACCTGCTGACTAGCTAATGCATACCGCATGTCTCCTGCTCCACTGAGCGAGCTGTCATGAGGAGCTCGGTGTCGCGCGGCGGCTGCGGCTGCGGCACGGCGCGTGGCCTCGGCGGCGGGCCGGCGCGCTATCGGCACCCTTCACCACGCCGCGAGACGGCCATTGACGTCAGAGTGACGCACGCGGCGGCCAGCGGACGTGCCGCCCCGGTCCGAGCGCGGCTGCCGCCCGACCGCCGCCGACCGCACTGCCACAGCCCACAGCCCACAGTTCAGACGAACTGACCGGCAAAACTGGAGAATGACTCCTTCGCCGAGGGAAGGGAATGCTCGGAAGGGCTGTCGGTCACCACGAGTGAAGACAGATTCTGTGAAAGTGCCGTTTCCATGACCGTAAGCGGTTGGTGTCGAATGTAATTGTGATACATACCGTTGTATAACACTACCGAGGGACGATAGTCTTGATATCGCAATTTCCCTCAGCTGGGACGCGAGCGGTCATTGGGACTCCCAGACGCATTCCAGGCGTTGGTTTGTAGGCTGAAGTGGTTCTGACAGGGCTGGATTGGCGTCGATACACGCCAGTCGGTTCGTCGACCGCAGATCGAGGGTTCATTGAAACACGAAATCGGATAACCGG